GGCTCCGTAGGTGACAAGCTGTTCAAGTGTGAGGAGTGTGCGAAGCTGTTCAGCCGGAAGGAGAGTCTAAAGCAGCATGTCTCCTACAAGCACAGCAGGAACGAGGTGGGTGCAGCCACGTTGTCCTCCCAGCTACGGGAGAAGCAGGCCACGGACCACACAGTCCGATGGGGAGAGAAGTCAGAGTCAGGGGAGAGGAGAGAACCACAGTGGCCGAGCCCGGCGGTTCTGGACATCCAGGTGGCCTGGCCCGGCGGGAGCAGGTGGCCCTTGGGGCTGTGCAGGTGCCTGAGTATGGGGTGCACTTTCTAGGGCAATGGGGCGGGAAGAGTGAAAATTCTTCATGTTCCTAAGCTGAGGAGAGTAGTACAGAAACGTCGTGAACCACACACACATGGAAGTTGCTAGAACGTTTCCTCAGGGAGCTCGTTCTGCTTCAGCCTCCCCTGGGCCCCTCCTCTCACTGACGCGCTGCCCTCTGCCCAGGTGGACAGCGAGTACAGGTACCGGTGTGGCACCTGTGAGAAGACCTTCCGCATCGAGAGCGCGCTGGAATTTCACAACTGCAGGACAGGTGAGCGGGCTGGCCAGCGTGAGTCCCAGGGGACGGGGTGGGAGCTGGGGAATGTCAGAGTGGGTAAAGGTAGGGTTAACAACCCCACCACGCATTTTGCTTCCAAGCAGTCATTAGCTGGTCTGGAGATGGATGGAGACATCCCGGGTCTAAAGGAACTTAAGTCCCCACATCCTGTTACACATGCCCCCCATTTGAGTTCCCACACATGCCGTCCTCGCCTAGTGTGGTGGGCACGGTGTCAGGTTTGCGCTAGGACCATGTGAGAAAGAGTGGTGGGTGGTGCCTGCAGGGGTGTGTCTCTCACTTGTTGGAAGGGGCTTCCGGAACCATTAGCCTCCCTTCTACATGGAGCTGCCAGTGTCCAGACCATGTTGTTCTGAGTCCACTTCTGTCCACCAATCTCCAAAAGTGACAGGAACCTCATTTCCTCATGCTGCCACGAGTCCGTGCCGAGGGGGCCTCCCTGGGTCTGGGCAAGCATGCTGGGCACTATCTCTGGCAAACTGGCAACTGGCAAGCACACGTGCTACAGACATCCTCGTGGACAGCGGGAGGCAGTGGCTTAGGAGCCCAGCCCCTGGAAAAAGCCCCGCCCTGTCCCCCCTGCTCCTCCTGTGCAGCGGGGTGACTTGCCTTCTCCCTCTCTCCAGGAACCCTAGCTCACCCGGGAGAGGGGGGGACCAGTGGCAGTCGGCTTAGCGACCTACCAGGTTAGCCTTTGATACCGACCCTTTCCTGTTGGCCCTCTGTGTGCGTCACTGTATCTCTGTGGGGGTCTTGGTCAGGTGGGTCTTCGGGAGCCTTAATCGGCTTAGCTAAGTCTCCACAGCCCCTCCCTCCGCAGCCAGCGCCTGCCCGGAAGCGCCCGCTGTAACCCTTGCTTGGCTCATGTGTTTGTTTGTTTGTCGTGTTGGAGGGTCCCGTCTGGAAGCTGGCATGTCTCGCCCATGGCGCCTTGCTCCCATGGCGGGACTGTTCCGAGTGGCAGACGAGTCCTGTTTCACCTGAGCTCCAGCTGCCCCGCAGCATCTGAGTCTGTGGCTTTAAGTGGCCTTGGCAGCTTTCGGACGAACTTCCTGTGTGCCGCACACCTGCACCATGAGCCCTGCACCCAGGTGCTCCCTAGGTCTGGGGCAGCTCCCCCAGCAGTCTCCATGCTGCACCAGCTGCAGCCGGCCGTAGCCTGGGCTGTTCCGAGTCAGGAGACGCCCGTGTGGCACTGGCAGGTCTGCATGTCTGCAGGAATGGGGCGGGCTCTCAGGGTGCCAGGAGCATGAGTGGCACCTGGGCAGTGTTTGGTGAGTGACTCAGGGTCCAGGAAGAGGAGGTGTCCTCTGTAGCTGTCTCTCTGGACAAGGTGAAGCAGGAAGTAACAGAAGTCAGAGCCCCAGGTGCTACTCATGGGTCAAAGTTCTGACAAAGCGACCTTTCCTTCGTCATGTGGAAGTAACAGCAGCAGCTGAAACGCACCTTCTCTTTTCCCAAGATGCTCTTTCAAAGGGTAGAAGTTTTGGATGGAAAATAAAGGATAAGCCTGGATATGAGCTCATTTGCAAAATGCAGTATTTGCATACTGTTTTTTTATTTATTCACAAAAGAAATTGTGTGTCTTCCATAGACCATTAAGCCAAGAATTTGTCCAATGTGAGGGAGAAGCTTTGAAACGTGTAGTCTGCTGGGTTTTTCTCATCCTTCCACTCAGCAGGGCTGGCCCTGGGTGTGACAGGTATTGGTGTAACCCTTCTGAGTGGTCCCTGAACTGCCCTTGACCATCAGACTGTGCTAGTGAATAGCAAAGGCTCCCATGCAGGTTGGCTCCCCTAGAAATCTGCTGTCTTATCTCTGGGTGACCCTGTACCCACACCTCACTAGAACCCAACTGATAGGCATCTGTTCTTAGTCGCTGCATTTTATTAAAACACTAGAGCAGGAGTGGGCAAACTTTTTGACTCGAGGGCCACAATGGGTTCTTAAACTGGACCGGAGGGCCGGAACAAAAGCATGGATGGAGTGTTTGTGTGAACTAATATAAATTCAAAGTAAACATCATTACATAAAAGGGTACAGTCTTTTTTTTTTTTTTTAGTTTTATTCATTTCAAACGGGCCGGATCCGGCCTGGGGGCAGTAGTTTGCCCACGGCTGCACTAGAGGCCCGGTGCACAAATTCGTGCACGGGTGGGGTCCCGCAGCCTGGCTGGTGATCAGGGCTGCAGGAGGTTGGTCGGCCAGGGGGAGGGACTGCGGGAAGTTGGCCAGCTATGGGAGCGCACTGACCACCAGGGGGCAGCTCCTGCATTGAGCCTCTGTCCCCTGGCGGTCAGTGTGCATCATAGCAACCGGTTGACCTGTTGTTTGGTCATTCGGTCGCTTAGGCTTTTATATATGTAGATAAATGTAGAGCTCAAGGGCACCAGGGTTATTGGTGGGAGAAAGTTATTGTTGGAGCCAGATGCCCATCTGCATTCCTAAACTGGTGACTGAATGCCACACAGGAAACACACCCTGAGTGAGGGACATCCCGAAAGCCCTGCCCGCTCCTACCTGGGCAGGGCAGCCACCCTGAGTGAGGGACGTCCCGACAGTCCTGCTCACTCCCTCTACCCGAGCAGAGGCCACAAATGAGTTGGGAGTAGTTACAGGTGATTTCTCACCATATGCTGGAGGGACTTGTGAGAGAGAAAGCTAAAGCCATAGGCACCTTCCACGCTAGTGGTGTGCCTGCCCAGGAGGGTGGCTCACCTGTGCTGTTAGCACCTGCCCAGGAGGGAGGCTCACCTGGGTGGGTTTGCAGGCCTGGGGTGGGTGGGGGTCACTGTGATCTGATGGGACAGCCCAGTAAGTGTGGCCTCCACAAAGCAGATGCAGACGCCCTTGGTCTGGTGGTCCCATCCTTAAGAAGCCATGCTCAGGGGATTCAGCAGAGGCCCCCGGTGACATGAGCCCAGCGTCCGTGCCCCAGCCACGCTGAGGGAGGGGAGGGGCTCAGGCCGGAGGCCGGGGCGAGGGATGCTGGCGTCGTTGCAGGCTGGGCTGAGGGACGCCCCCACCCCCATGCACGAATTTTGTGCACTGGGCCTCTAGTAAAAAATAATGCAATAAGTTGTGGTAAAGGAACCAGGTGGACTATTACATAGCCCCTGAAATAAGCATACTAAGTACACATACTGGATACATGTGTGTACAGGGGATCATGTAGATGCACCTGGGCTGCACATTGGGGTCACCTAACCCCCGCCTGGACATTTTGGTTGTCACACTGGCTGTGTGTGTGTTGGGGGCGGTGCTGCAGGACATCCACAGCACCAGGTCGGCCCCCACAGAGGACGATGTGGCCCACGTGTTGCCAGGGCTCAGTCTGAGACCCTGGGTGTGTGTGGGGTCAGGGGGTACTTAAATGCACCATGGGCTCCATGTACAGCACAGTGAGAACCATCAGATTCATGGTAGGAAACAGCAAGGCTATGTGCAGCATCAGGGATCTGTGTGTTTGGCAAATGTTTGCTGACTCTAGGAGCAGGTCAGCGGGCTGGGGCCCAGGCCCAGAAACAAGGATGACACGGTGTGTCCTGAGGCCTCCCTCTGAAGGGGGATGCCCCCTGTGACCCACTCAGTCATGCCCATCTGCAGGGGAACCCGGCATGGGCTGGTGCTCCAGGAGGACTGTGGGCAGTGAGGGCTGCCTTCAGGGCTTGTGTGGAGGACAGACCCCTGGATGGGGGTGGGGTGAGGGGCAGAGCACAGAACAACACAGAGGGTCGGAGCCTGTGCTGGGCATGAGGCCCTGAGATCCCTGAGCCAAAGGGGGAGTCCAGGTCGTCCAGGAAAGACAGACAGCTGGAGGGGTGCTAGCGCCATGCAGGTGCCCCACGCCTGCTGTCTGTGCTCACCGAGAGCAGGCCTTCAGGGGACGTCCTGGCGCCTGGAGGGAGAGCGCAGTGGCACAGAGGGAGCGGGTGGGGACTGTCCAGGTTCCGGTGGAGTCCTGGGGTTCCTTGGGCGGAATCGTTGAATGCCATGGGGGAGAGGAAGTGGCGGAGGATGCGGGCCGGGCTGGTGGTGAGAGGAGGCGAGCTAAATCTTGGGAACCAGCCCTCCAGCCGGTGCTTGGACAGTAGCACAGGTGACCGGCTTCCTGGCCGCGTGGGCCTCACGCATCTCCACCCCTCGCCTGCGCCCCTTGCCGTTCCCGCGGCCGCACCGTGGAGCCCGCGTCCCACGCCGTTGACCTAAAGGCCGCTGTCTGCTTGCTTCCCGGACAGACGACAAGACGTTCCAGTGTGAGATGTGTTCTAGATTCTTCTCCACCAACAGCAACCTCTCCAAGCACAAGAAGAAGCACGGAGACAAGAGGTTTGCCTGTGGGGTCTGCAGCAAGATGTTCTACCGCAAGGATGTCATGCTGGACCACCAGCGGCGGCACCTGGAGGGTGAGCGCCCTGCGCGGGGCGGGCCTGAGGGAGGGGGAGTGGGCCCGTCCCTGCCGCCACCCGATGGGGTCATCGAGCTGTGGGGATTCAGCCCAGGCTCTGGGGGTTCAGCCCAGGCTGTGGGGAGGGATCTGTAGTGTCAGGTAGGAACTACAGGGACAGTCAGGAATGTCCTAAGTATTCAGAGGGAGAGTTAAGGAAACCAGGCTCTCTGTAGGATTGAATACTGTGCAGTCATTAAAAGCTTTTCAAAGAGTTTTTGAGTATTATGGCAAAATGCTACCCATGATAGAGAGCAGGAAGAAAACTGTGAAACTGACGCGGTGAGCTCTCCGCCGTGTGCATGGAGCATGTTCAGCGGAGGCGTTGGGGAGCCCCAGACTGGTTTTCCCTGGCTCCACCTGTGTGCCCCGAGAGGCCCCCGATGCCTGAAGGCCATAATGATTTTGTTATCAGCTGACCTTGCACCCTGGCCCTAATTCAACTGGTTAATTTGAAGGATGAGTATTAGCCTCTTTTTCATAAAAAGCCTGCCTGCTTAGAGCCGTCTCCAAGAAGCCTGTCTTTCCCTGAGCCTTTCCATCGGGCACAGACACCTCTAGATCGTTCATTATAATCTCCCACGCTGTGAAGTGGGAAACACTCGCTGCCCTCGTATTTCCAGATGTTTCAGATGCAAGAACCCTGTCACCGGACCCGTGGGTGCTGCAGTCTCCTCTCCCCGGGGAGCCTGTAGGAGCAGCGGTTAGCGCTGATGCTCACATCACTGCCCAGGGATGCCCCACTTACTCTTATGTCTCCACACTGTGGGCAGCTGTCTCCCGTCCTCTGAAATGACACTGGGCTGCAGCAGAACTGACTAATATCATGTATTTACCCTCTCACTTGGGCGGTGGGCCTTTCAGGCGTCAGGCGAGTGAAGAGAGAAGACCTGGAGACTAGCGGGGAAAGCCTGGTCCGCTACAAGAAGGAGCCTTCGGGATGCCCCGTGTGTGGCAAGGTAACGCCGCGCTGCCCCGCAGTCTAACGCACAGCTCACCACTTCCCGCGGTGACGAGTCGGAGCTCTGCCCACTGCAGGTCCGGGGGAAGGTCTGGGGGACATGGACACTCAGGGTGTCCTAAGCTGTAGTGTCCACTCACTCGTGGCCTTGTCATTGTGATCTTTTGCTGTCGAGCCGGGTCTCCAGTGAGGGAGCTGGGATGAGGTTTGCTCTGTCAGAGCCTTTTTCCTCGTTGGCTACCGTCTCCACCTGCGTGCGCCCGTGCTCACGCTCTCTCAGCGTCTCTGCGACGTGTCCTCTGGCAGAGATGGGAGCTGCTCACCGGGGAAGTGGGAGGTCCCGGGGGTTTAATTCTGTCTGCTGGTGCTGGTCTCCCCTGTGGCATCTCTGAGTGTAGCACCCACAACCGTGTGGCCACAGCGGTTCCTGGCGTGTTCCCTGAGTGAGCGAAGCGTGACGTCAGCCTTATGAGCAGATCCGCTCAGGGTGTGTCGGGCGATTCCTTAGCTTGACGTTAAATGTCCAGCAGTGCACTGCCCACCAGAGCCCCAGGGTGCTGTCAGCCGTGCGGGGGCCACGCAGGCGGTCACGGAAGCGGGTGTTCTTCGTGAATGAGCTCCAGGCCTTGGCCCTCCTCAGACTCACCTCCCAGGACGAGATTGTGTAGAGGCCACTGTGTGCCCAGGCTAGAGAGCATGTCCCTCTCGGATGCAGAGCACTTGCTGCGGGGGCCCAAGGGGACTCCCCAGGGGGCTTCTCGCCCCCACAAGCTGGGGTTGTGGGGGACGGAACCCCCAGCCTGGGCTTGGGTAGTTGCTGGGTGGGTCTCAGCCACACGCAGTCTGTGAGCAGCTGCCAGGCCCGGACAGTGGGGAGCGATGGCCGCAGGGACAGCCAGTGGCAGCACTGCCAGCGTTGCCTTTGCGAGAGGAAATGGAAACTGTGGTTACGGTTTACGCGAAGCCGGTGTGGGAGCGGCACCTCCATGTCTGCCTCTTCGCCCGCAGGTGTTCTCCTGCAGGAGCAACATGAACAAGCACCTGCTGACCCACGGCGACAAGAAGTACACCTGCGAGATCTGCGGCCGCAAGTTCTTCCGCGTGGACGTGCTCAGGGACCACATCCACGTCCACTTCAAGGTGCCCGCTGCGCGCTGTCCCGGTAGCTCACTCGGGGCATGGGGGCCTCGGGCCAGCGTCTGACCACTGGTCCGCTTGGCCACACGCCTCTTGTCAGATGCGGCCTCATGACCGTTTGCTGGTCTCAGGCAGCCCCGCTACAGGGCTCCCAGTCCGGTGCCTCCTGCGGGTGGATGGGGTGCTGGGGTTTGCTCCTCTGCTCCCTGCCTCAAGGAAAGTGAGGAGTTGGCCGGAGCTGGGGAGGCAGCGAGGACTCAGGGCCATGGGGGCAGGAGAAGTGCAGATCCGGGGAAAACAAAGGGATAGCAGGTGGTGCTGAGGCCCTGATGAAGCTGCGCTTACCCTCGTCACCTGCCTGCCTGCAGCTCAGTGACGGGCAGTTCCCAGCCCCGGTGCAGGTTGGGATTTCCCTGGGAAGATGCTGGAGAAAGTGGGGGCGAGGCACGAGTGTGGGAGGTTCCCAGTGCAGGTGCAGAGCCATGTGGACCAAGCTGGGGAGGAAGGAAGGGCCCCAGGAGGGCGAAGAGCCTCGGGGAGAAGGGCTTGGACCTCCCGGGACCCTGCCATGCCCCAGCCGGGACCTGCGGGTACCAGTTCTGCCACCCCTGAGCCTCCACGTTTCTCTCTGTAAAACGGGGCCCGAGCCCTGCCATGGAGAGTGGGTTTCCCTGAGCATAAATTAGACCCGACAGGTGACGGGCCCGGCGGGTCTGAGTGCCCAGGCCTGTGGTCTGTAAGCAGGTGCTAGTCCTCCTCAGGCAGTTCTCCTCTGAAAGAGGGGTGCCCTTCTTTGTTGATGGAAACTAGGGGTTCAGTTTGAGTCGATGTGAGAGTCCACAGTAGAAGAAACGGAATGGCGGCCCTTGTTGAAACCTTGTGCTTCAGCCAAGGGCGCGGAGGGAGGGAGAGCGAGCTCTCCAAAGGAGCCCATCCTCTCTGGGTTGCAAGTTTGCTCACTGATGAAACGTGGCCCTCAGCGCCATGCGACCGGCAGCCTCTGCCTGAGGATGGGCAGTGGCAGGGAAGGGAGCAGTGGCAGGGAAAGGGGCAGCGCCCTCTGCGGCTGCTGGAAGGAGCTGCTAAGACAGGGAGCCAACCACCCAGCGTGGCGAGCTCTCCTCCCTCCCAGTGGTGGCTGCTGGCTCCTGCTACGCTGCTCCCTCAGCTCCGGGCTCGCCCCCCAGGCTGCTCATCCCTAGTGTTTCTGCCTGTGAGTGACTGCTGGAGTGATCCTTGCAGTCTTTTGCAGAAAAGTAAATGGAACTTCAGAAACTTCGGGGCAGGCCCGGTCACGTCCACAGGAGGAGGCCTTAGAGACCACTGACCCCACCCCACTGACAGAAGCCATCGTCGAGGCCGGGACGTTAGGTGTTCCCAGGGTCAGGCAGCACCAGGCCTGCAGGAGGGAGTCTGCTGCTCCCTGCCCACCCCTCGGGCCGGTGCTGCGCATTGCAGAATTATCTGAGTGTGAGCAGGGCCTGGTGGGTTTCCCGTAGGGAGTGGAATGTGCAGGTGACCCGAGGGAGGGTGTCTGCAGGGGGCCCACGCAGGACGCAGCAGGCGGGAGCTCCTAGGACGTCCTACCCCGCAGAGGCGCTGCGTCTCCGTGTGGGTGAGCCCCCTGCTGCAGTGGATAAGGAGCCGGTTAACGCTTTGCCACACGCGTTAGAAGCTGGGCTCTGGTTCTTTCAGGACATCGCGCTGATGGATGACCACCAAAGGGAAGAGTTCATTGGCAAGATCGGGATCTCCTCCGAGGAGAACGATGACAATTCTGACGAGAGTGCGGACTCGGAGCCGCACAAGTACAGCTGCAAGAGGTGCCAGGTAACCGGCCGCTCAGAGCGTTGGGGAAGGGGGCTCGAAACAGGCTGCGGACCCGAAGGGACCAGGCTCGGTGAGCGGAGTCCCAGGTGGTGGCCCACTTGCAGACACAGCTGTCCTGCTGGCTGCCCAGGTCACTTGGGTTCTCGGGGAGGATGCCTGGTCTCACTGTGTCACACGGACCCTCCTCGCGGAACCAGTCTCCCGACTGTCCGGCCTACGGCTGTGTGGCTCACCCGGTGGGAACTGGCTTCCTAGAGGTCGGCCGCATGAGGGGCCTCCCTCCCCCCCTCGGACCAGTGGCTCTTCACCACAGCCTGCCCCGTGCGTGGAAGGGGGGCGTGCTCAGAGGGGGTGGTTCTGTCCTCAAAGGGCCCGGGCTCAGCAGCGTGCTGTGTGAAGGCGGTCCCTGCACTGGGTCCCCTGCCTGGGAAAGTCCAGTTCGCTCCTGTCGAGTGCAGGTGCCCATGTTCTCTGCGAGCACCAGCCCGTGTGCCAATCCTGGCACCTGCCGTGCGCCTATCAGGACCCGTGGGTGTGAGTGAGGTCAGGGAGGTCAGTGGGTGGAGAGGAGGCAGTCGGGCCTGAAGGGAGTCCGGAGGCCCGGGAGGAGCTGGGGTCCACTCCTCACATCCCCCCGCTGCACAGTTTTGCCGGCGCTGCCCCTGCCCCTGCCCTAGGAGTGCCCTCCTCACCTGCCAGGGTGACGGGCTCTCACCAGCGTCCCTGCCCCGTGGTGCGCGGCAGTCGTGCTGAGCTGCCGCGCCGAGCTGGGCGAGTGGTGAGCGTGCACCTGTCCGCAGCTCACCTTCGGCCGTGGGAAGGAGTACCTGAAGCACATCATGGAGGTGCACAAGGAGAAGGGCTACGGCTGCAGCACCTGCAACCGGCGCTTCGCCCTGAAGGCCACCTACCACGCCCACATGGTCATCCACCGCGAGAACCTGCCCGACCCCAACGTGCAGAAGTGAGGCTCCCGGGGCTGCGGGCTCAGCGCTGGGTGGTGCCTGAGGGAGGTGCCCGAGGGAGGTGCAGAGAAGCGATGCTTGAAGGGGCAAGTCCCTCTGCTCTGTGAGCCCCACTGGGTCCTGGGGAAGTACCTGTCCTCCACCGGTCCTGCCTCGGCCCCACGCCCTGGCAGGACTCAGCATGAGCAGCACATTACAGGCCTGGGGAGCCACCAGGAGCCCTTTCCCCAGTGATCAGGGTCCCTGAAGGCCAGCTCCCGTCGGGCTGCAGCCGGAACCAGTGCTCTGAGCCTGAACGAGGGTGGATGGTTGTGGCTGCAGTAGCTGCAGTGGCCAGCCCGGTCGCCCAAACAGAGTGCACAGGCCGGAGGTCCGAGATGAAGGTGTCGCAGGGCTGCCTCCGACTGTGAGAGCATCTTCCCCAGGCCCCTCTCCTTGGTGTGTGCCTCTTC